GTCATATCCGTCGCCAAAGCTTGGTGTTGAATTTCCGGTCGGAGATTGTGGTCGACCAATTTGTAACCGTTTGTGCTGAACACCATCGGGAAGCCACAAATCATTTATTGTTAGCTGTATGTCAATATTTTACTGTTTTAACCAAATAAATTGACAATAAATAAGGCAATTGTGTATTTTGTGATCATGTACATGTTTTATTAATATTAAGCTTTGTGTTTTAATTATAATTACTGTTCCACGTTGTATTAGAGTTTATGAAAGTTTAATTAAAAAAAGATCGTTTAAAGAACAGGGTTTCATTTTTTATCTGATTAAATTCTATCAGGATTATAAATTTTTACAAGATTTTGTCAATTTGATTTTTTTTCAGCCGCTTTTGTTTATTGTATATCGCCCACGTTGCTCTGTTTTCTAACAATTTGTTTTCCTTATTTTGCTGTTTTATTGCGTTTGTCCTGCCTAAACAAAAATATATGTAAACGATTTTATTTTCAATATATTTTTTTAAATCTATTCAGGCATGATTTTTTTTCATCCTGTTTTTGTTGAATTTTTTGTTCTACTATTAGTCTTTTTTCTGATTTGCTTAAATTAGTACCATTTCAACGAAATCTCCGGGGAACGAATTGTACTATATTTTTATTTATGTAACAGTCGAATTAGTCCAAACAGGGCAAAACAGGACAGTCAATTACATAATTCATGCTCGCTATTATATTATAACTTTAAACAAAATCATAAAAATGCCTTAAGTTAATGACAATATCTTTCATTTTATTAAGGTTTTTTAGTTGAGATAAAAAAGTCAGTGTCACGAGCGGGATTCGAACCCACTACCTTCAGATAGGCCGCTGCTCTAACCACTTTTGCTATCGTTACTTCGATCCACTCGGACACTAACTTCCCAACTCAACCCCACCTTTTGAATTTTCCCTCTTTTTTGCCTTTTTTCAAATGTCGTGAAATCTATTTGATTCTCGGTGACAAATGAAATGGCCACGGAGAGCTTTAGTGAAGATGTAATTCATTTAACTTATTAAATTCACTAGTTTTCGTGGTCTACTTGACCAATTAATATCTTTCAATTAAGGTTTTTAGTTGAGATAAAAAAAATTCAAAAGGTGGGGTTGAGATGGGAGGTTAGTGGCTGAGTGGATCGAAGTCACGATGGCTCAAGTGGTAGAGTAGCGGCGTATCTAGCCGAACGTTGTGGGTTCGAATCCCGCTCGTAACACTGCCTTTTTTTTATCTCAACTAAAAACCTGAATTAATTGGCTAAGCGGACCACGAAAACTAGTGAAGTTAATGACAATTTTAAATTATAATAATATGAACTAGTTTCAGGATTTAAAAAATATTATACGTTTTTATTGATGTTTAATTAATTGTATCTTGTTTGAATCAGTCTAGTGAATATTTTATGAATGAAAAACCAGCAACGTGAGGCCACGGGGTCTTGTGCAAACTAATGGAGTATTAAATTTCGTCTCACGTCTATTATGAAGCCCGATTGTCTACGATTGACACGATTTATTGGATCTAATCGATCTCAAATTCCGTAAACTGTTAATCCGCGATTGTATGATCAATTAAACCTGGCTTGAAGCGTTTGATGTGTCAGATGGAACTTCGTACTTGAATTGTAAGTAGATTATTACATTATTTTACAAAGCCAAGTTTAAAAACAAATAAAATCCGGATTTAATGAATTCCAGCCCGGATATTTGACCAATAGCTTCTAATGGACATAATTTGTTTTTTGTTGAAATAATAGGCAAGAAGATTTTTTCTTTACCTACCCTAGGATGCCTAAAAAGGGGGGTACTATCCCCACTTATATTCCCTACAAAGAGCATGTTATGCAGATGACCTGGTAACATATACGGAAAATTCGATGACACCCTTTCAAATCAGATACAAAACGCTTTAAATATTATAGGAAGATGGTGTTCAAAAACGGGTTTAAACATAAACCCAAAAAACACATCATACGTTTTACAACAAGAAGAAAGCTAAATCTGAAAGCACTACTATAAAAGATGAAGTATTAACTTTCACAAAAGAAACAAAGTACCTACGTTAACACACGACCTAAGGTTCAAACGGAGTCAACAGTGTGCAAAAAGCCAAGTCATTACTAAGCATTGTTCAGAGGTTAGGCTGGAAAAAGTGGGGAATTTGATTTCATTGATCTAGGATGGCGATTGGTTTTACACCACAATTGTCAGAACCCTGATCATTTATGAAGCTCTAGTCTTCAAGCACTAGTGTGTCTAATATAAAAGCAAAACTGCCCCAGTACAGCTATGAAAACAGCACTCCACCCTTAAATGTGGGAAAACCCTTATGTAAAAAAGGTTGCTTTTGCGAGTGCCAACTCCTGAGATACAAGGCCACCACAAAATTCTGAAGATAATTAATATAAATAAGATGGCTATTATGGAGCCTGATAAAGTAAGAGAAAACCTCAACTTTCACAGATTCTTCTAAATAGTCATAGATAATAAAGAACTTTGCAAGAAAGATAACCTCAAGTGTAACGATATATAATATGCACAGATGGATCGAAGATGGAACAGGGAGTAGGTGTAGGCCGATCTATGCCCTAGCAAAGCCCCCTGGACCAACAATTTTCCAAGCTGAGGTCCATGCAATACAACTTTGTGCACTGGAGTTAATAAATAAAAATTTGAAAGATTGATCAGACAGTCAGGCACCTATAAAGGTATGGTTTCAACTCGAAACTTACTTAATGACTGTAGAAAAACACAAGATCACCTTAAAGTGCAGGACAAGAAAGCATAGAAGGAAACAGGTTGAACAAATAGCCAAAAAGAGGCAGCCGGTGGAGGTCATAACCGCAACTAGCCGCAGCGAAGTGTGTGCTTAAGTTTGAACTAGATAAATAGCTTGAGAAAGAAAAGCTCAACCACTGGGCAAAGCAACAGGTAGGAGGCAACCGAAGAGATATATACGTCTCTCAAAAAGAAAGGTAAAAGATCTCTCTCAGCAGGCAGGATTTGAAGAAAATTATAGGCCTATATACCGACTGCCCGCTTAACTCCTGGAAGTGCCTAAACTGCCTAATGGCTCTGGGAAAGCAAAACGAAATGAACGGGGCTGACCAATAAAAGGGCGGGCTCACCCATGGGGCCAGAAATGCAGCTAGGGGCACCGGAATGTGTAGTTAAGTTGGAACTAGAAAAACAGCTTGGGAAATAAAAACACTGGACAAAGCACCAGTTATGAGGCACGCTCAGAGATTTATAAATCTCTCGAAGAGGAAGGCGAAGGATTTGAAATAAAATATGTAGGTCTCTACAGGCCACTGCTCTCTACCACTACCACCTAAAGAAGATAGGCAAAGCACAGACAAAAATTCTGTCAGGAGGAACCAGAGACATCAGCACATCCCCTTTGTGAATGTGAAGCATTAACCCGGTTACGGTACAGCCATTTCGGTATGACATTTCTCAACACCAAAGGAGGTATTCGAAGAGGCACAAAAAAAAGTGTATGGCTAATTTATAGGAGTTCTACAATAGACAAATCTAGGTCGCGGTGTTCAACATCCTCACAACCTAAAAAAAAAATTATATTTATCATCGCCAAAGTCATCAATGATTATTCATTCAAAAAATAAAAAAGCTGAGCAACTACCAATAAAAGGGCGGTCTCATCCATGGGACTAGAACTGCAACTAGGGGCACCGGAGTGTGTAGTTAAGTTGGAACTAGAACAAAATGTGTTGGAAGAAGGGGCTATCCTTAATTGGTAGCAACGCTCCTTACAGCGATCTTCTGACGGGTCATCTCTAGGGACGCTTGTTGTTATGCGTGATGCACAAGTACATCCCTTATCATGGCCTGTCGGACGCATCATTGAGCAGTACCCGGGTAAGGATGGAGTGGTACGAGTTGTGCGCATAAAAACGCCCTCAGGAGAATATACGCGTCCGGTTACACGTCTATCTCCTCTTCTCCCTGAACCCTGAATCTTTCCAATCCTGTTCTTCCACTCTGCAACGTCTCTTTTCTCTTAGTGAAATTTCTCTTGAAATTTGGTGGGCGGTATGTTTACGCCGGAGAGAATTTTATTCATTTTTTTTTATTTTGTTTATTTGTTCAAATATCCATGGAGACGAAAAAAAGGTCTCGGGGTCCAGCTGGCCAGTTAGTATTGGAGAGTGGACGAACGCGTTTGTTTAATTCTTTTTTTTTTTTTATCTCGATTTGTAATAGAAGTTACAATTTACCAGTACCCCGCCGGATTACGAAGTTATTTGTTTTCTCTTCGCCTGCTCATCGCTGTGGAATCGAGTTCGCCTGCAATTCTTCGCCGCACATCATTTTGCTGTTCACAGGTCAGATCTTTCCTTTCGGCAGCTGGCAGCATAAATATCTCAAAGAAGGGGAAAGATTTCTCAGCAGCCAGAATTTGAGAAAAATCTCTGTTTATGCCACTACTCTCTACTGCTACCACCTAAAGAAGATGAGAAGCGAAGAGGCACAAGGAAAGTGCTCAGTCTTTAGGAAAAAGTGCACTTTCCATGGATATGGCTATAATTTATACAGGTTCTACAATAGATAATCTAGGTCGCGGTTTTCAATCCCTCACAACCTGAAAAAAAATTCTTGCATTCGAATTTATCATCGCCCAAGTGATCAATGATTATTCATTCAAAAAATAAATAAAAATCTTCGTTTGTAATATAATACTTGAAAGGAAATTTGATAGCATTCTTTATTTACTGGAACCGGTCAATAAGAGAAAATTGTGTCATTACAAGAAAAAAAATAAAAGTTTGAAAATCGGGTCGTTTTTTATTAGATCTATCAGAATGAAACCAATAAATTCGCAATTTATTTATAATAAACTGTCTATAATGAAACAACCAGTTAATAAAAATAATTTGAACTGTTTTACGGGTTTTCATTTTGCTGTTAGTTTTGGGAAGAGTAATGATGTAAAAGGGTCTTTTTTAGTGACAACGCAGACAAAAAACCAACTAGTTTATTAATGAAGGCATTTGAAACATAAATAAAAGATAATTGATAATATTCTTTATTTTTCTTCTATTATTTGGACCTTTATCAACAAGAGAGAAAAATGTGTCTGAAAATAGAGACTTAATTGTTTTGAAGACAGGATTGCAAATTAAAGGTCCGAAATAGATCTAAAGCGATAAATGAACAACTTATTTACAGTGAAAAACGGCAAAATAACTTAATTGATAAGAAATGGCAGAAATTTCCCTTGGTTTATTTTCCTAGTGGCCCCCAACCGTAAGACACGAACAGCTGAGGTATTATCGAGTATTGTTTCCTGGGTGGGTCCAAGTCCCCGCGGAGGATGATGCCCGGATGAGCCGTGAGGAATTGGACAGACGGCCTTGCGATGGGGACTTCAATATCTTCGTCGGCCATCTCGACTGGATTCTTGAGAAGGACGTCGTCCCCCATCCTGGGCGTTTCCTGTCCCCTGGTCCGGGTCCCTTTCGGCCCGACGTACATGACGTTGTACGGCATGCCGCCGGCCCCCCAGCCTCGCGACATGAACACGTCCCGTTTGGGTTCGAAGCGCTCTTCCTGGTTCTCACTGCTGTAGACGGGTGCGGGTAACGCCTCGCAGGCGTTACGAGCGAGATACAAAGCCACGAGACATGTTAAAATCTTCCAAGATGCTTTTGAGAAACTTCTGAGCAACATTTTACTTCCTGCAACAAAACATACAAATTCATCAGAAACAAATCTCCGCAATACATAAAAACGATGGATTATATAACAAACACTCAGCAATTGACGAAGAAAACAATCTAACTTTGCTTTGGCAACGAGCGGAAAGGTTCTTGTGGCAAAGATGATCCTGCACGATAATTTTCTTTGCACTCGCAAACATGTTTAAAAAAAAGGGAAAAAAGTGCACTCTGCAAAGGAATCCAAAAACGACTGAGAAGGAATACCTATAGTAAACTATCTTTCTCCCTCACCCTTTCTCTTTCCTACTTTCTATTTCGCTACGTCTTTCTCTCTCTCTCTCTTTTAAATTTGCCTCTCTTCAAAAATGGGTATATGTACATTATATGTAATTAAATAAAATTATTGAATATAAGAGGTCAATATTTGACCAAATTTGTGACTATAAACAAAACCGCATTGATTCCCTCTCTCCCTTTTTTCTCTCTCCTCTTCACTCCCACTTTCTCACCCCTCCTATTCTGTCTCTCTTAGTAGTCAAAATACCCTCGTAAAAACCAACACTTCCGCAACACTCGCATGTTGTGCGGGTATAATCTACTCAACAGAATTGCTAGACTTTGAGTAAACCCTTTCCCATAAAATCTCTCTCACTCACTCACTCTCTCTCTCTCTCTCTCTCTCTCTCTCTCTCTCTCTCTCTCTTTCTTTCTTTCTCTTTCCCTCTCTCTCTTCTCTCTCAACCGTCCCAGAACGAATTTTTGAAAGGTTTCTAGCTACCGTCCCAATATATGAAAAATTAACATTTTCAGCCAAGCCAGTCCAGTGAGCAGAATAAAAATTTTTGTAAATACACATTTCATCCAACGTACACAATCAGTTTTTCTCCATTGTGCTAATATATAGAATATCACAATTCACAAACTAAATAATGAATAAACGCAAATATTATTGTAAATATTACTTGATAGGTAATGGTTCCCGATTCAATCCAACGACCCTGCAGTACAACTCTATATTCTTATAAATTTTTTTTTCAAACCCACCGGCACCCAGAAGGCTCATATAAATTCGTAGTTGAAATTCTCACGTAAAAAATTAAATTAAATTAAATGTAGTTATTTATGATTATTCAGAAATCGTGAGTTGCGGCCTGGTGTGATGTAGGTTTCAGAAAGACATTTTCTTTATCGTGCCAACGTTTCGATGTTTATTGAGATCATCTTCAGAGCCGGGGATTTACAAACATTGTTTAAATTTAACAAATACATGTAGGATGTGGAAAAAAGTGAATTTATACAATGCAAAATATATTTTTTATATTATATCAAAGAATTTATACTCAAAGTGTTTGTTTTCTGTGGAATTCTTGCATGCCGTGTTGAGAGTGCCAGTGAGATATTGCTGCTCAACACGACACGCAAGAATGGCACAATTACACAGAAAACAAACACTGAGTGAGTAGAAATGCTTTGATTGAATATAAAAATATAATTATTCAGAAATTGTGAGATGCGGTCTGGTGTGATGTAGCTTTCAGAAAAACATTTTCTTTATCGTGCCATCGTTTCGATCTTTATTGAGATCATCTTCAGGGCTCAAAGTGTTTGTCTTCTGTGTAATTGTGCCATTCTTGCGTGTCGTGTTGAGAGTACTTTCTGAAACCTACATCACACCAGACCGCATCTCACGATTTATGAATAATTATCGACTAACTTCATCACCACACCTTTTTATTTAGCTAGATATTATATTTGTCTTTAAAAATATCCAGTAAACAATAAAAACTAAAAATTATAACGATTGCAAGTATTTACTAAAAAAATGATGTCAGGATGAAATGTGGTTTTCTGAGTAATTATAAAAATATCTTTTGACAATACTACATATAAATGGATAAGAGTAGAATATTCGAGAGTTTGAAGGTAATTCCACTAAGTTGCGATGTCGTCGATAATCAGGGCAAACTAATTAAAGAACATTATAAGAAATATATTTGGAAAAGTAGGTCGTTCGACAATCTGGCTAAAATATCTCACATATAGCTTACTTTGTTCGCAAATTTCGTCCTCGCCAAGGACGAAATTTATTAAGATCGATTTTTGAATAATAGGCCACTGTAATAACTAATGAATAATAATAATATACAATATTTATATGGTATGGATTATGGGTAAGTTATATTACAACGGTCATTCTAGTTATAGAATCATTAAGTAATAAGTATGTTTATCTGGACATTTATGGAATATGGTTAAAGAGCGACTTTATTTCCAGAAATATCAACGCAGGGCGCTTAATGTGGAAATGTTCTTTGCGTCACATTCTCAAGGAATCTTTAGTTATTCTCTTTGTAGAACATTTCACCCTGGCGCATTTTACCCTTGGTGATTCTTAAACTGGTGATAAAGTCAGATTCCATTTTTCTTTTATTGTCGTGCATTCGTACAACAGTGGTAGTTAAAACGTCCCGAAGAAGGGTTTCACTCGGGTTGGTTTGAAGATTTACCAATTCTACATGGATTTTTGTGAAGTTCTATCAGTAATATTTAGACTTTTGCTTTTGTTAATCTAAATTCTTATTTGAATAAATTTTACGAAATCGGAAATTTTCAGGATTAGAAGTATCGACAACTTTTTCACTTACGAACACTGAATCAAGGTATGGTCTTGAAGAAGAAAACAAATTTAGTTGCTACAGCAAACTTTCGCCCTATTTTAAGGAAATCGCTTGGGCCTAAATTAATTTCACAGTATGAAAAAATTTGTACAATTTGTCTTTTCAGAGGATCTTCGGAAGAGGTCAAAACAGAGAAAACTTCCTTACGGTTTTCGCCGAGCTTTCGACAGTTTTATACTGTCATCTTCAGGGCTTTAAAACCTTAATAGGAAATTAAACAACATGGTGTTTTGGGCACAGAAGTACATTATATTTTTTTCGTTTCAGCATCTCATATAAGTCTAAAAACCAATAAAATCCACCTTTTTTTAGTTTTTCAGGTACAAATGATCACAGTATGTTTCCTAAATATATATATACATATACAATTAACTTATTTTAAAATTTAAATTAAAACTGTCGAAAGCTCGGCGAAAACCGTAAGGAAGTTTTCTCTGTTTTGACCTCTTCCGAAGATCCTCTGAAAAGACTTCTTGTATCCAGCAGGTCGATAATCTAGTTCATCATTGTACAATTTATTTAACAATCAATATAACAATATAGAACTTACAAAACAACCTTAAATATGACTACTGATTGACATATTTAAGTTTTTTCAAAGGAGATCTCGAATTTACTTGAAGATCGATTCAGTCTCAACATTGCCAAGGACTATAAAAGTACTGCAACTTTATCCCGCAAGAAAAACCTCTTTTTTTTTAATTAATAAGACCTTCACAAATTGAACTTAAGCCCATGGAGTGGCCTTTGAAGAATCACATGATCGTCAATAATTCACTATTTTGTGCTTGTCACACGTCTGATCAAAGCATAAACGAATATAAAGATCTAAGGATATCTTTTCTGTGCATGAGAAGGATTGAAATGGATCAATTTCGCAGCCACCCTTTCTACAAAAATAATAAATAAATAAATGAAATAATAATATCTGTATATGAAAAAGAGAGGAACATAAAAAATATTCAAACAATTATTCAGAAATCGTGAGATGCGGTCTGGTGTGATGTATGTTTCAGAAAAACATTTTCTTTATCGTGCCAACGTTTCGATCTTTATTGAGATCATCTTCAGGGCCTTGTGTTGTGTGCATTTCAACAAAAAGGTTCCCTGGTTGATAGCCGATGCGAGTTTCTTCTCATTGTTGGCGATGTCCTTCAAGAGCCAGCCGTGAAGATGATCTCAATAAAGATCGAAACGTTGGCACGATAAAGAAAATGTTTTTCTGAAAGCTAAATCACACCAGACCGCATCTCACGATTTCTGAATAATTATCGATTAATGGTCACTAATCCCCACACATAAAAAATATATTTTGCATTGTATAAATTCACTTTTTCCACATCCTACATGTATTTATTAAATTTAAAAAATGTTTGTAAATCCCAGGCCCTGAAGATGATTTCAATAAGGATCGAAGCGTTGGCACGATAAAGAAATTTTTTTTTTTCTGAATCCTACATCACACCAGATCGCATCTCACGATTTCTGAATAATTATCGACTAACGGTCACTAATCACCACACATTTCTACACGATAAGAACGAAGAACATGGGATTCTATGAACAAATTTCAACTACATATGGACACGAAGCTAAAAGTACTCTGAAGGACATCGCCAACAATGAGAAGAAACTCGCATCGGCTATCAACGAGAGAACCTTTTTGTTGAAATGCAGACAACACTAGGCCCTGAAGATGATCTCAATAAGATCGAAACGTTGGCACGATAAAGAAAATGTTTTTCTGAAACCTACATCACACCAGACCGCATCTCACTATTTCCTAATAATCATCGACTAACGGTCACGAATTACCACACAAATATTAAAACATTTTCCAGCATTGTTTGCTAATTTGGTTATTTAAATTCATTTTACACTTACATTACGCTTGGAAAGACAAGAGATGTGGGTGTCTGAACCAACCACCTCATTTGAGTGATTTTTTCTAAATTTTAATTAACACACCAGTCATCTTTAAGTAACTCTATTCTGTGACTACCATCGGTCAGATGTTCCCATCTTCACACATGGATGTTGAGAACCATGAGGATCTTTTACGTCCGGATGTTTCCCCGAAGGGACATCTCAGATGTAGGGCGCTCAAATAGAACACCACGAAGATTTTACAAGCATGGACTTGTCACATCCAGGTGATGCAACGCTAGCCATGTTCAGAAGTGCTCTTAAAACAGCACATCCTTGAAAAAGGCAGTTTTGTGGTTTCTGGCGCAGCTTTTCAGCCGTGCCTTTCACCACCCCCGGAGAGATAGAGAAGGCACTCTATCTCCGGCTCCGGTTGGCTACCCTCCAGCTGAGCTACTTTTTTGTGCAAACTAA